CTGAAAAACTGCTACAAGGAGATTTATAACTTAACAACAGATTAACTCCTGAAAGTCATATATCAAAGAGAAATGACTGTAATATATCAGGTGTGGGAACGCCAGTGCTTAAAGATTTCTAAACGCCTAGCTGGTTAAAAACAGCTTTCCTTTCCATAAAAACCTGATACTTAGCCAACCGTCCTTCTGTCTCATGGGACAAATCAATCAAGATTTATTAACGAAACCACAGTTAATTCCGGATATAAGGACTGGGGGCTACCCTCCACAAAAATCTTCAAAGAAAGCGAGGAGAAATATTTTTTTCCGGTCGCCTGTAATTTTTTGAAGAAAAAATGACTACTCTCGAGCTAAACTAAATAAAGGCCCCTAAAACAAATGGCTGATGCTTGATCTTGAAAATGGATAGAAAATAGCATCCTTTGTGATTTGGATAGGTCGAAATTTGAGAAATCCATTGCGCACCATATCGTCGTACTTGCAGACAGAGGGTCATATCTGCCATTGTCACTGTCCGGCAGTTTACTGTTACAGAAAACAAGCAGCTTACCATCTACTACTGCTCACTTAGATTTACCAAACAGAAGCATATCCATACACAAAAATTTAAGGCACATTTATCGGTGTGTCATCCACATCGTGCTGCCTTTGTTTCATATTATATTTAGTAAATCTTGCATTCACTTTATTTAAAATGTAGACAATCAAGTCAACTACAAAAAATAGAACTTTAATAGTAATCATGTAAAGCATATATGAGTACTTCACATTCGATTATCATATTACTCTCTGTAATTGTTACGTCATTCACCGTCAGCTGAGCAAACGTTAGATTTTTTGTTTGTACATGACCTTGAAGAGTGGACGCTAGATGGTCAGTAACCATTAACTACCGGTTCATAGTATCAAAAAATGGATCGCAATGAATAACAGTGATGTCTGACCAATGGCACAAGACCAAGAAAAACAGATAGTTGCTACCTATCTCGTCTAAGAATGAAAATTATATGGATTCAACAGTACACTCGACAAACTTGATCTCTCCGCCGGCAATGGTCCTGCACTCTACGGATATTCTTAAATGCACAGCTGTTCATGGTCAGGAGCAGCTCCAAGCCCATTACCCTGAGTACGGCATGTATGAAATAAACACGGAACTCAGGCCCGGTCCCCTGTAAATTTATTGTTGTTGTATAATGCTATACAGCCACAACACCTTCCCCGCCATCAAGCCTTTTCGAAAATCGAATACACTTTCCACGTTCATCTAACGAATCGGAACTTCGTAAGATCTCAGACGATCCTAGAAGTAATCATCCATTTCTTGAAGAATATTACACTGGCATCAGAGATATTTACCAAAGAACTTAAGATCTATTCATTTAACAGTTTTTAAGAATTAGTTTTACGCTCATCTGGCAACTGCATTCGTCGCAACGAAGTCAATCAAGCACAAATAGGCTTTATGGCTTAAAAGAAATACAATATCTAACAATTCTTACCCATACCATAGTCTCCATATTGCATCCTAGAACTAGAAGCTAGTTCGCCTGGCATGAATACACTTGGAGGAATTGACATCGGACTGTTACAGAGCTGAACGTTGTCTATCACCTTCGGGGGCCTCAACGTCTTTGCCCTAACACCGCTTTTCTTTTGCACAGTCGATGGTCTTCTCTTCCTTTTTGCTACTACCGCTGAGAGCTCTTGTTGAGGGTAGGCAGGAACCGCAGGGGTGCAAAACTGCACGTTTTCGAAAGCGGTTCGGTCAAAATCAACTCCGTACAATGCGGTAGCCGGAGACGCTGTTTCCGAAACTCTACCGTTCGGCGGATAGGTATTTGGCATGTTGTTTCCGTCGCTGGCATAGTAACTGTTGATAAGTGATGTCTTTGGCAACTGCGAAAACTGCGGTATATAATCATCCGATTCCATAACGTTACGCTAAGATAGACAATGCATAGCAGCTAACGTACACCCCAGACAATAAAATGATTGTCAGGTATTGTTGATAGCCATATATCACTTAGGACAAGACCTGCTACGACAGGATTTGGACGTGTGTTTTTCAGTCTTATTATTGCATGTTGCTATTTAAGATTAAGTTTATGAGGAGAGAGCATACACAGCTTAACGAATTTCGTTCTACCTGTTGAAATACAGATGCAAGTTAAATAGAGGGATTTCTCTTTCTGAAACTATTCCTGATCTCAGGTTTGGTGTGCTTTCTTTTCCAACGAATATTATCAACTGTCTGGATTATATAGTTGGCGACATGAAAAACAAATTAACTTAACAAATTCATAATCAATATGACATTCGCTACCATTTACAATAATAAATCTGGGATCGCATGACATATGTTCGGAATTATCAACTATTCCCTTTGAGGCAGCGAGCATTGGACTAATCCTCACATTCTAGATATGCCATTTAAGGCTTTCGTTCGAATTAAATCACACATCTTTCGTGATGAGATATGTATAGATTACATTATAAGCTGCTTTGTTTAAAATAAAACAGCTGCCAACGGCATTAACATTCGTACGTGTAAAGTTGCAGAAGCTTACAAGGACTTCAGGTTGATTACCGCGTGCATTTTCAGAATACTGGAGAGTCGTTATATACTGGTAAAATCTAACTTATTGAAACCTACATTTCTATCCGATTTAATTGCAGCTGCACTCAACAATTTACTAAGTACGGGTAATCACGGTTTGAGATCCCCAAATAAGCTCTGCAACTACTCGTACACGAAAGATAAAATGTGTGGCAAATGTGTGGCAACGGATGGCAAAAAAGAGAGTGTCGGAATAGTTCTTTGCTCTTGCTCTTGATAAACTGCTCTTGCTGAGGGGGCTACGTTGGAGGAAACCTGCAGAATGCTTAGAACTGGCATGTTTCGTCAATGTAGATGAGAAAGCATCTGCCATTGTGGAACACGACATGCAGTATGAAGCAGACAGCATTGTCCGGATGGAAGCCGTTCAACGATAAAAGAAAATCTTGGAGGCAGTCACAATTGAACGAATAAAATCAAGATTAAAATGTCAGAATAAGCGTATATGATCCGTCTAGCAAGCTCTGCTGTTGCATTAGTACGTTGTCAATAAGTGTACTTATTGAAATAACGTAGGCCTTTTGTTTTAAACTCGTCATCACACTATACTACTGCTGCCTCCATGCATAAAACATTCGTAATGCAACAAGGATAGGCACGACCCAAGGGCCAAAACAGAGTTTGCCAAACAAAATGTTTGACTCCATGTACAGATTGTTCGATACCTTTTGATGTTAGCTCCTTGTACATTTTGTTCCAGATTTGAAATTTGTCAAGCACTCCTCGAGCTAACCTGCCTAACTGATTAAATGGCAGAAATTATTCGAATAAACTAATATTGGTAAACTTTAATGAAAAGCCAATGTCCAGATCCCCTTGAAGCATTGTTGACGGAAAGCATATAACGATTAAACGTATTGCGGGCGCTTTAAAAATGCTTCACGTACTTTGCATGGAAGACAACTTTATTTGATCAACTTTCGTATTTCTCGCACAGCCAACTGTCCAAGATCTTTCCGCTCAAGAGAAATATTCAAGTTGAAATTTTCAAAACTAACAAAGTTATTCCGGTGCGCCTCCATCAAGGAAACCGTGGCAAGTGGTTTGCAAACAAACAGAGGGGTATGATCAAGCAGTGAATATTTACATGGTGAATTTACCAAGTTTTTGACATACCTCGTTTTAAAAAATGAAGAGGAAAATATCTGATTTCAGTGTTAAAATCCTGTCATCGAAGCAATATTGTAAGCTCTATAATGCGTGCATTTTATTGTGCTTGGAGAAGCTGATTTTAAAATGCCAAAATTTGTGTATCTTTTAGACCGTTGTGTTATTTCCATCTTTTATTGAAAAGAACTATTTGCATTTCCTTCAGTTATTAGGGCCATGCGGTTCATTGATCGCTAACACGTGTCACTCGAGTTGCAGTAGCTGCCGAAAAGACACCAGTTGATTGAGCAACAGTGAAATCCACCTCTGCGCAACAAATGAAGACTATGGAGAATGCTCAAATATCAGGGCACATTTTATTGAGCCTCCCAGAAATAGCTTAAGTAAACTTGTCAGAGGGGAAATGCCGCGAATAAATAAATGATTCTATGGTATTGGAAAAAAAACTTTTATCCATTGTACAAGTTGAAAAATGGGCTTCCTTAGACTAATTACTGATCTCAGTCGTCTTTACATGATCCGAAATACAGATATCCGAGAGAGAAAGAGAGAGAAAAAGAGAGAAAAAGACAGAGAGAGACAGAGACAGAGAGAGAGGGAGATAGCCACTAGTCTTCTAGTTAAGAAGTCACAAATACAATGGTTTTAGCATGTACAGCGATGCGGCTAGTATATTCCCAGCCGGTCTGCCGAAGACCTCGAGAGATCGAAGGCCGGAAATGACGTAGAACCAATGTCTCGAAGGATACTGCTCAAGACATTTTCTGCCAATGCTCAAACGTTGACACAGGATCGGAAGCGTTTGAGACATTGCCTGGCTCGTCTGCCTCTGCGACCAAGAAGTATAGATGGATATTGAAAGTGACTGACTGACTAAGGTTACCTTGTTGTCGGTAGAGGTGAATATTTTTGCCCATGATGAGGTAGCCGGTGTGATATGGTAAACGTGTTGAAAAGCTTCGGGCAGCAGACGTGACTAACCAGAAACGTTGTATTTATTCAGGCGGCTAAAAGTTGTGATCTCGACGAACCTCTAAAAAACTGGTTCCTTTGCAACCTTTCATTCTGGTTTGCTGTATTTTTTTATTTGTTTTGAAATTTATCATGGTTGTCCTCTTAAAGTTTCGGTTCTCTTCTGCCTTGTCATTCCTCAACTTCTTTGCAGCTATATCACCATTTCAACGGCTATTACGTTGAAGCTAGAAATACATGATTGCGTTGCTACGTTACGACCATTGTTCATTTCGTCAGAATTTGTAGCTTTTTGTTCTTAGTGTAGTTTCATTGCAATGGGAATTTGTTTGTAGGACAGATGCCACTTAGAAGCTATCCATTAGCTCGTAGGTTCCTTTATTTGAAGCTACATTTCATCAGCAAGATCATCAGTTCCATTTTACTTGTAAATATTCAAGTTTAATTGCATGTTTGACAACGATTATTCATTAGTATTAGTGGTCCATAGTCATTAGTAATCACTGAATATTTGCAAGAGCTGGTTGATTATGGAGATTTATACTTATTCATACAATGTAATTTTAAACTGCAAGCATTGCGAAACTTTGGACCGTTCAACATTTGTATGTATCTTTGATAGTGTCGTTGGAAACTTTTAAAATTTTTCTGAACTCATTGATTTGCTCTAATTAGCATAAAAGCTTCAGCTTCTAACGCATTGTATATTAATCCAAGCTTGGGTCTATCGATAAACTGAACAAATCGTGAAATGCAAAGTGAAGAGTTTGGCATGGACTTTTAGAAAATTCTAGAGGACCAGTTTAGAGAAAAATAGCGATGGGGTTAGAGACATCACATTTGGCGATAAGCGCTGCATGGCTAAATTGACGGCTTAAAGCGTCTAACGCTTGCTGAACTTATTAGCTTATATACTGTCTTCACAATTTCTGCGATGTTGATTAAGCTCTTTTCGTCGGTCTGCCTTAAACCATGCCATTGCTGAAGAATTCATCTTTCATATTTGTTTTTCTTTAGTTATGTAGAGTAATATGCTGTTATTTCAGTATGCTGATAAGCAATGAAATCTGAATGCTCCTTAGCGTCCCCTTGATCTTCTGCACTTTGTACCAGTGACATTGGATGTCATCATCTGTTGCTTCTCGTGTTTATGAAATTATCTGTAACTTAGCGACAGATTTCTCACGGCATTTTTTGCCTCGGCAGCGTAATAATGATGCCGTATGCTGTACGGTATTTCATTGCGCAGTTCAAGAATATTTAAATAATGCAAATGATCCTGATAAAAATGACTGGTTTTGTACTGGCTGGGTATGGGATTCACGTATGAAATCTAGGTCTTCGATATGCATCACCATTGTGGTTCAAGCTTCATCCTGCATACAAACGGAAATCAAGCTATGCCTGATGATACTACCTTCAGAGTACACATAGAATCCATTTTTCAGTACATGTGTTCTCCAAGAATATAACTGATTATTACGTTTGCAGTAAAAAACTGGCTTCACTGAGTCATATATCAGCGCCCAGTTATTATTGGCTCATTAATTTGTCGATTGCTGTGATATCCTTACGCGTCTCGACATGGTCCGGAATAGTGACATCCGGAATAGCCTTGGAATACAGCCTTTGCTTCTC